TGAGCTGCCCAGGCACCCCTACCCTTGTAACTTAAAGTTGAGATTCTTTTCTTATTGTGTTAGTCACTTAGGGCCCCTCCTTTATGAATTATTTGATCATATCTTTTGTCTAATTTTCTTTGAGTGTATTTTTCTTCTAAATTTTAGACATAAAATTTTAGATTGATAAGTTCTGAATACTAATCCTTTTATATGCATGACAAGTTTTTTTTTTTTTTCCCCAGTTTATGGCTTTCTAATTTAAGGTTTTAAATCTATTTATGTATTTATTGTGAATGGGTAGTATGTTCACATGAATCAAAAATCCAGAAAATACAAAAGAACATACAGTGAAAAGTTTTTCTCCCACTCCCGTTTTTTCATCCAGTTCCTCTCTCCAGAGGCATTTTGACTTCATTTTTAAAGAACTTTGTTCATAATGTCATTTGTTGTACACACATTTAAAATTTTAATGTAGTTAAATATATCAGTCTTTTCTTTGTGGATTATGCTTTTTATGCCTTGTTTAAGACACATTTCCTCTGCCTCAGTTATTATTCGTTGTTCTTTTCTAACTGTTTAAAGTTTGGCTTTTCATATTTTGATCTTTTTTCTATTTTTTATGTATGATGTGAGGTAGGGATCATCCTTCCCTCCATACTATAAAAGTACTTGTCCTTATACTCTTACATTATATGATTGTTTTGTCTAATACAACTTTCAGTGTGATGGGAGACTACTGTTGAGCTTCATCTACATGTTGGCAAATACAACGAACTGGTCCAGTTTATTTCTGTTTTGTTCCTACTTGCAAATGAATGCTTAGAGTCCTGATGAGTACTGCCTTTCAGGCCCCATAATGTGTCCTTGTGTCCTCTCACATGTCTGGAATTTGTGTAGGCTGGGATAGGGCAGGGAAAGGAGGGTTCCTTTGTCACAACAAACAAGGAGAAAGCTTTTTTCCCTGTCTCTTCGGTTTACCAATGCCTCATCAGAAGCTTTCAGCACTTATGTAAGAAATTAAATTTTTTTTCTTGAACCTTGAGCAAACTTAGACTTTGTTTTAAAATAAGATACTGTGGAGTAGGAAGTTGTTTTTGCTTAAATGTAGTATTCTTTTCTTTAGTCCTAGAAATCTCTTAAAGTTCTTAATCATGTTCCTTGATATTCTCGGCTTTATATTGTGGTATTGTGTATTCTGTGGAAAGGGATTAGCAGCCTGTGTGGTATGGGGGTAATTAAAAAATGTAACCCACTCTATCTTTTCTGTCTCCCATCTTCCATTTCACTTCTTTTTAAATCATTTCTCTCTTTTACATCCTGTCTTACCAGATAGATGCTCCACTCAGAAAAAGTGAAAAAAGAGAAGTAAAAAACTAGGTTAAAGACATTCAAATGGGGCAAAACAAGAGTGATGATTATGGGAAGAAAGGGGAGAAAAAGCAGAAAGAGAAAAGAAACTGAGATTGGTTATTACCTGTGGGTTAGGACTTCCAAGGGAACTTTTTCTGGTATTCTTTGTGAATAGGTAGAGAGAGCCTTGAACTTACTTATTTTTCTACCTGTTCTACCTATTTAGGAGGGGCCAGACTTGGGGGTGATGGCCAGGTAGGAAGGACTCTATTGAGAAACTATGTAGCTAGGGCTTTGTGCTTCTAGCTCCTTTCTCACTTTTGTATTTGATCCAGTTTAGTGCTGGAGGGTCATCTGTGATGGAAGTTTTAGAATCTTAACCGAATATTGCTCTGGATATTAATAAAATAAAGGTCTGAAGGTTATATGTCTGTTGTGTTTCTACTTCAGGAATGTAATGGATGCTATTTATGCATATTTATATGTTAGAACTAATTTGATCTGAAATCTGTTTTTCAGAATTAAAAGGGATGTGAAGTCCATAAAATGATAGTTCAGACTCAGTAAATTATAAGACTCTGAAGTGCTAACACATTTCATGATTTTTCTGGCTCAGAGTAGTGATTTCTCATTGGCGGTGATTATAAACAGTAGTTTTATATTGACTCATGTTTCTTAACTGAAATAAGCTGACACACACAAAAAAGAGGTTTGTCAATGGTTTAGGATACACTTGCTTTTGATTTTAATTGCCTTATAATCATTTGTACCTTTACAGGGAAAATAACCTTTCCTTGGTATAAAAAGGTCAAGTCGATAAGCAGTTTTAGATCTCTTTCTTTAATGACTTTTTGGCTTGAGAATACATGTTCATAATTAAAAATTTTTTTTTTTTTAAAGAATTTATTTATTTATTTGACAGAGAAAGACACAGCGAGAGAGGGAACACAAACGGGGAGTGGGAGAGGGAGAAGCAGACTCCCTGCCGAGCAGGGAGCCCGATGAGGGACTCGATCCAGGGACTCCAGGATCATGACCTGAGCCGAAAGCAGTCGCTTAACCAACTGAGCCACCCAGGCGCCCCATAATTTAAAATTTTTATGTGAATTCTTTTATTATCATTTCAGAGAAAAGAAGGAATTTAGTAAGCCAGCAATTGAAGATGTGGAGAACTGAGTAAAATTATGTAGTCATTTTTCAAGGAAGAAGTGATGAACTTTGAAGTTTTCCCATGCCATGTTTTCATTATACCATTATTAGAAATTATCCATTAGTGTTGACAAAGTAGATTATAGATTACTAATATTTAATATTTAGAGTGTCATTTTTCCTGGAACAGTTTTTTGGTACCTAGGATGTTGTGGAAGACTTTTAAGTTGTAACTGTTTTTTTTTTTTTTTTTTTATCATGGGAATGTTTATATGTGTCAGGTGAATTTCAGCTTCGCCTGACAGATGTGATGACTTGTTCTTTCTGTTTTGTGTTCTGTCTACTCATTGGTTATATAACAGATGACTGTTTATATAATAAGGATTAGAACAAGCCATTAGAGATGATTGATAATGGATACAAACAAGTAGTGTTGTGTCTGCTATCAGAGATGGAATAATATAGTTCTTATATGTAACATGTTAAAAGTACAAAGGAGTATAGTAGTTAGGCATTGGAAAACAGTGAATAGGGAAGAAAATATTTCTTGAGAGTCAAAGGAGCTTTGCCAGGAATATAGCCCAGGTAATGTAGGAGTGGGAAACCAGTTAAGATCAGGGGGCAACAGAACATATCTGCTTAATATTATTCAGTGACAGAAAAGTGAAATTAGGGGCAAGATAGAGAATTTTTCCAAGTGCCCTAGAGAGAAGAACCTGTCTGAACAAAGGTTGGACTTGGATGATGGGTAGAGTCATCCAGAGTTGAAGGATGTTAAAATAGAACCTATTTCTGGACCTGGGTAAGGTGGAATTAATATCTATTTTATATACTTGTAAATGCCTTTCATTCTGGTGAAGGCGGTTCGATTATGAGGAACAGAATCCAAGGGCAGCTGTTTCAATTAAAGCGGGCTGATTATTAGAAAACGCCTGTGTAGGCTCCCTGCTCTGGGGGTTGGGGGGTCTGCTTCTCTTTCTCCCTCTCTTTCTCTTTTGAATAAATAAATAAATTCTTTTTTTTTTTTTTAAAGATTTTATTTATTTATTTGACAGAGACACAGCGAGACCAGGAACACAAGCAGGGGGAGTGGGAGAGGGAGAAGCAGGCTCTCCGTGGAGCAGGGAGCCTGATGCGGGGCTCGATCCCAGGACCCTGGGATCGCGACCTGAGCTGAAGGCAGAGGCCCAATGACTGAGCCACCCAGGCGCCCCAAATAAATAAAATCTTAAAAAAAAAAAAGAAGAAAAGAAAGAAAACACCTGTGTAGGGACCCAGGCACTAAAGAACCCTATGGGTAGAGTAAATGTCTCCAAAATGTCTATTACACTATTTAGATGTAATTTTAGCTCTTTTTTTTTTTTTAAGATTTTATTTATTTGACAGAGAGAGACACAGCGAGAGAGAGAACACAAGCAGGAGGAGTGGGAGAGGGAGAAGCAGGCCCCCTGCGGAGCAGGGAGCCCGATGTGGGACTCGATCCCAGGACCCTGGAATCATGACCTGAGCCGAAGGCAGATGCTTAACGACTGAGCCACCCAGGCGCCCCTGTAGTTTTAGCTCTTAAATAGGCTCATGCTTACTGTCGTGTGGTTTCTGTGGCATTTGAGACTGGCCTAGATGTTGTACTGTGAGCAGTTGGGACACTGCATGGAAATACTGACCAGTACAGGCTGTAGTGCCAAGAAAGCCTTAATTCGCTATTACCCATTGCTCTGTGAGGAAGAGCAGCGGCAGGCCTGGCGTCTTATAAGTATTTAACAGTAAAAATTCAGGGTTTGGCTATTTTATTTTATTTTTATTTTTTTTAAGATTTTATTTATTTATTTGAGAGAGAATGAGAGAGAGAGTGAACATGAGAGGTGAGAGGGTCAGAGGGAGAAGCAGACTCCCCGCCGAGCAGGGAGCCCGATGCGGGACTCAATCCCCGGACTCGATCCCCGGACTCGATCCTGGGACTCCAGGATCATGACCTGAGCCGAAGGCAGTCGCTTAACCAACTGAGCCACCCAGGCGCCCAGGGTTTGGCTATTTTAATAAGGAAATGTGTTCTGTGTGACTACCAAATTTAATATACTGTTGGGCTTGCGAGGCTGTAAGGATCTGTATCTTCTTATGGCATATGCCTGAAATTAAGGGGCAAATTCGGGTCTTATTTATTTGTTTATTTATTTATTTTTAAAGATTTTATTTATTAGAGCGCGAATGAGCACGAGTGGCGGGGAGGGGCAGAGGGAGAGGGAGAAGCGGGCTTCCCGCTGAGCAGGGAGTCAGGTCATATTTAGAGGTTATTTGGTATCTTTTTATTAAATGAAATTCCTAAGTATCTAGGTGCGTATAACCTAAATAGCAACAAGCTCAAATTGTCTTCTTTTGTACAGTGAGCAGATTAAGGATTAGGTTTTTCAAAAGACCAATATGTAGATTAACCCACAGAAAGAGTAAATAATTGTATGGCTTAGCGTGAGAAAAATGTAAAAATGATCCCCCTAAAGTGTCTTCTGTTTTATTTTTTTCAGTGATGCCATCTGTAATTTTGTTATCTGCAATGACTCTTCCCTTCGAGGGCAGCCCATTATCTTCAATCCTGACTTTTTTGTGGAAAAACTCCGACATGAGAAACCTGAGGTGTTCACCGAGTTGGTGGTCAGCAATATCACAAGGCTCATTGACTTACCTGGAACTGAGTTGGCTCAGCTGATGGGGGAAGTGGACCTTAAATTGCCTGGTGGGGCTGGCCCGGCGTCGGGATTCTTCCGGTCTCTAATGTCACTCAAGCGAAAGGGTAGGGGATGTGTCTGTGAAGGGTGGGCAGGTCTCAGCTCCTCCCTGGGCTTCACCTCCTAACATCTGTACATTCACTGAGTTGCTATTATGTAAAGTATTTTTTTTTTTTGGTCATTTTTCTCATTTTCTTAAGTAGTAAAATCTTTTTTTTTTTTTTTTTAAAGATTTCATTCATTCATTTGAGACACAGAGATACAGAGAGAGAGAGAGAGAAAGCATGAGCAGGGAGAGAGGCAGAGGGAGAGGGAGAAGCAGGCTCCCCGCTGAGCCAGGAGCCCGATGTGGGGCTTGATCCCAGGACCCTGGGATCATGACCCGAGCCAAAGGCAGATGCTCAACCATCTGAGCCACCCAGGCGCCCCTTAAGTAGTAAAATCTTAAGTTAGCAATACAAATTTTATTTTATTTTTTAAGATTTCATTTATTTGACAGAGAGAGACACAGTGAGAGAGGGAACACAAGCAGGGGGAGTGGGAGAAGGAGAAGCAGGCTTCCCGCCATAGGGAGCCCGATGTGGGACTCAAGCCCAGGACCCCGTGACCTGAGCCGAAGGCAGATGCTTAACAACTGAGCCACCCAGGTGCCCCAGCAATAAAAATTTTAAAAAGTAGCTAAACTAAAGCAAGTATATCAGTCCCTGAGAGAGATGACATGATTTAGTTTAGGTAGTTACCAGGGGCACCTTGATTTTCATGCCCTATGACATTGCTGGAGAGTATAGTAAAGAAAGTTTGAACATTTTTTTTTTTTTTTTTAAGATTTTATTTATTTGCGAGAGAGAGAATGAGAGACAGAGAACATGAGAGGGAGGAGGGTCAGAGGGAGAAGCAGACTCCGTGCTGAGCAGGGAGCCCGATGTGGGACTCGATCCCGTGACTCCAGGATCACGACCTGAGCCGAAGGCAGTTACTTAACCAACTGAGCCACCCAGGCGCCTGAAAGTTTGAACATTTTTTATTGCAGTTCTCAAATGTTTTCTTTCTATGGACTGCTTTGATAAGGCAAATACCTATGAGTCACCCAAAATAAAAGCCTTCCTAGAAAATAAATTGTGGCACTGCTTTTGATAAGATATTAAAGAGGTACTATTTGATTTTATTAAGTATAAGGAAATCATTTATGGTAGAAAAAAGTTTAAACATTATAACAGATCAGGCCCTATACCAACACTAGTGGATAATCTGTCATACCTTGACAATCGTGGTTCTAAATTCTGTTTATTTCTTTATCTATTTTAAAGGTTTTTGTTTTTTTTTTTAAAGATTTTATTTATTTATGAGAGAGAGAGAATGAGAGAGAGCACATGAGAGAGGGGAGGGTCAGAGGGAGAAGCAGACTCCTTGCCGAGCAGGAAGCCCGATGCGGGACTCGATCCAGGGACTCCAGGATCATGACCTGAGCCGAAGGCAGTCACTTAACCAACTGAGCCACCCAGGCGCCCTATTTTTTTTTTTTTTTTTCTGGCTACAAATTTATTCAACACAAAACATCTCCAACTTTACTGAGGTGGCTGACCACGTCCACGACCAAATCCGCCTCTAAACTGGAACTCAGTTGCTGACCCAACCCCGGCCTCAGCTTTCTTGTCGGCACCAGGGGGCACAGCGCTTCATCTGTAGGTGTCTCTGTCAGCTCCCCTCGTGTGAGTCTTGCAGGTCGCTCTCCCTCCAGACCTTTGGGCCGTGGTCGGCCAGTCTCAGGGCGCCAGGCGCCCTATTTTAAAGGTTTTATTTATTTATCTTAGAGTGTGTGGGCTCAAGTGGGGGAAGGGGCAGAGGGAGAGGGAAAGAGAGAAACTCATGCAGACTCTGTGCGAACTTGGAGCCCAATGCAGGGCTTGATCTCAGGACCCTGAGATCATGCTCTGAGCTGAAACCAAGAGTCGGATGCTCAACCGACTGAGCCACCCAGGTGCCTCACTGTTTTTCTTTTAAGTTAAATATCAACACGCTAGGTATTGTTACTTTTTTTTTTTTTTTTTAATTTTATTTATTTATTTGACGGAGAGAGAGACAGCAAGAGAGGGAACACAAGCAGGGGGAGGGGAGGGCGAGAGGGAGAAGGAGGCTGCCCGCTGAGCAGGGAGCCTGATGCGGGGCTCGATCCTAGGACCCCGGGATCATGACCTGAGCCAAAGGCAGACGTTTAACGACTGAGCCACCCAGGTGCCCCTAGGTATTGTTACTTAAATAAGAAGATGGTCTTTGCCTTCAAGGAACCCATAGCCTAATATTAAACTTTCAGAGAGTTGATTGAGAGTTGTTGCATTTTTGGGTGTACTTCCAGCTTTAAGGTTTTGTTTACTGAACTCACTGTGAAAGCATTTGCTGAACTGTTAACATGGGATGCTTGAGTGGCTTTAAGAACAATGATTTTGTACTATTTATAGAAAATATAGCTCTGTCTTGTCATATGTTTTTTAGAAAAAGGAGTGGTATTTGGATCCCCATTGACGGAGGAAGGCATTGCCCAGATATACCAACTGATTGAGTATCTACACAAAAGTAAGACTTCTCAAGATTTTGTTGTTCTTTGTTAATGAAGAGTTGTCAGTTTTCTGTTGAAAGCTAACTTCCTTGAGTTAGTAGGTGTCAATGAACAAAAGACACTAACCAATGATAATTTTAGGTGGTATGTTTCTAAATATATTTCCTTTTAAATTTCATCTCATATATTGGTTTGTTTTATACTCTCAAAGATGTAGATAAATTAGATAGTATCTATGAAATCACATCTTCCCCGTGACTCAGGCTTTTTTTTTCTGGAAAAATACATTGTCTCTAAAGAATCATAATCTTTACTCAAGGGAACATGATTTATCACCAAAGATAATTTTCATCTCTGTAATTCTATAATTAAAATATACTCTTTGCTTAATTCCTGTTTATTTTGTAGTAGTCATACTGGTTATGTCTTGCTCTAAGTGCTTGGTACAGTTGAGTGTATGTGAAATGTGTGGGGTGTGTGATGCTTTGATAAATTCAATGTGAATGCTTATTTATGACATTTTATGTGGGGCACTGTGGTAGGAGCTAGAGCAGAGGTTGCAAACTGATGGCATAAGGACTTGAGTCCTCTGTGTTCATATTTTGTTTGGTTGGCAAAGGATGAAATTAAAAATAAAATCAGTTATCAGTGGAGAATGGGGAAAGTCCAGGTTTTCGAATTCTTTGGATGATAGGAAGATCTAGTATCCTGGGGCCCCCACTTGGACACAATCAACTGGAGCACAGGTATGTGCTCTCTAGTTTGTTTTGATTCCCATTCGTTCATTTATTATTATCTGCCTGGCCCTCTAGGCATTTGAACTTGAACCCCTGAATTAGGGGGCTATACAAAAATAACTATGTGCCTAAGCTGAAAACATGAACTCTCATGGTTCTTCCAGATCGAACCAAAACTATAATTCTCATCTTTCTTTATCCTCTTAGATTAACTTAGAACCTAGTTGGAAAGGAAAAACAGTTCAGTTGGGATGATCCTAAGCTTCTGGGAATCTCAGACTGAAAGGTGATATGACAGGTTAGAGTTCTAATTTCTGGGGCAGTGCAGAGACTCTAGTTTTATTTTGGACTGGGAAACCATTTATAGGAGCAACAAACTTCCACAGATGAATTCAGCCCCTCCAGACAAAGTCTGAGATGACCAAAGGGAAGGGGGCCTTCTGGGAGATTTGGCTTTCTTCCAACTTATTTTTCAAGCTCATTCCAGTCATTGTTTAGGTTAAATTCAGTCTCCAGATGTGCCTGGTCCTGGGGAGACTGTCTCCAGGTGCTCAGGGATGTTCAGATAAGTCTCCTCAGGGGCCAGTAGGTTCGAAACTTTTCTGGGAAAAGGGGAGAAAACCTCCTTCAAGGTCTTTATATAAGGTCTTTCAAGTGTAGTCTTTTAGATGACTTATTTTAATTGTAACTTCTTTTTGCATGTCCTCTGTTTCTTCCATGCTAAACAGACTTGAGAGTAGAGGGTTTGTTTAGAGTACCAGGGAATAGTGTCCGGCAGCAGATTTTAAGAGATGCTCTCAATAATGGAACTGATATTGACTTGGAATCGGGGGAGTTTCATTCAAATGACGTTGCTACCTTGCTGAAGATGTTTCTGGGAGAGTTACCTGAGCCCCTGCTGACTCATAAACATTTCCATGCACACCTCAAAATTGCTGGTGAGTATAGGAGGTGAGAAGGAGATGTACATAAATACATTTCTTTCGATTGAGTAAAGTTGTTTGGCATTTTCTGTTGGTTGTAACCCACAGCAGTACTTTTGCCAAAATTGGTTAAGATTTCATGATATTTTGGGCTCTCTGGGTAGTATTGGCTAATTAAGTTTGATTTAATCAGGTGTTTTTCTTGCTAAGTCAGCTTCTTTGATGATAAATTCTGGGTTTTATTTATTCTTGAATCCCTGATGGATCCTAGCATTGTGCTTTGAATATTTTAGTTGCTTAATAAATGAATGCTTTTCACTGGGTTGATTGACATACCTGAGATGGTTACAGGTTTGCTGTATTTGCCTTGATTTGGGGCTTTAGCTAAGTATTACTATGCCTCAGTTGAGATCATCTCTAATCTTGGAAACTTGTTTTTTGAAAATAATTTTATTTGCTTTCTAAATAAGCAATACATTCACATGGTTCAAAATTCAAAAGATTCAAAAGAGAATACAGTGAAAAGCCTGTCTCCCACCTCTCTTTCCCAATACCCAGTTTTTCTTCCTGGAGGCAACCAAGGCTATTGATTTCTAATGTATCCTTCCAGAGGTATTTTATACATTTACAAACAAATACTTACATATATTCTTTTTCTCTTTTTTTATGTATTGGTAGGATGTTATATACATTGTTCTGTGGTTTGCTTTTTTCACTCAGTGAATCTTGGAGGATGTTCCATTTTCAACTCATATTTTCCTCATTCTCTTTTATGTCTGTGCGGTAGGGAATTCATTTTTAAATTGCACAGCTCTTAGGCTGCTATAGGCCCTAAGTGCACACGGCATCACCATCCATACTGCAGTTACTTGGTTTTCTGCCCTTGGGCATTTTCCTCTTTTTTTTAATTTTAAGGAAAATATAAGAGATTTTTTCTTTTTTTTTTTTTTTTAAGATTTTATTTATTTATTTGCGAGAGAGAGAATGAGAGACAGAGAGCATGAGAGGGAGGAGGGTCAGAGGGAGAAGCAGACTCCCCACTGAGCAGGGAGCCTGATGCGGGACTCGATCCCGGGACTCCAGGATCATGACCTGAGCCGAAGGCAGTCGCTTAACCAACTGAGCCACCCAGGCGCCCCAAGATTTGTTTTCTGTTGAGTCATTTTTACTATTTAAAAAACTAGCTTGAATTTCTAAGATCTCATAAGATTAGATTTTTTTTTAAGCACTCTCTGACAATCTGGATTATACAAATGAATAAATATTATTAGAACGTTATATGACTTTATAATTATTTTGGAGAGAAATAAAGTTGGATCTTGAAAAAGATATGGAAAATATCGATACTTTTTTTTTTTATAAGTGTTAACACGAATGCTTATTCTGTTTACTTTTCCGTTGAATTAATTTAGTGCAATATTTGAAATCCTCCACTCCCCCACCCTGTGACTCACTGTTCCTTGTGATCAAATTGAGGTGTGGCACAGTTGCAGCATTTGGTATGCTTTGCTGATAACTGGAAGGGATTTTTGTTTTCAGTTTCATGTTAACAGGGAATAGTTTCTAGAAATATTACCTGCCTTTCCTAAACTTGGAATTATTATTGAAGTTAAATAGTTTAAACAACACATTATAATTTTCAGGACTATATGAATTACATCCAAGTGGTTATTTGTGTCCTTTGAAGTGCTGATTATCCAGGGGACTGTTTTTATTGATAACCTGTGTAGCTTCTTAGGGGAGAAACAGTGATTCTGATTCCATGGAGGAGCTGCGTGGATCATCCTGTTCTCAGTGCATAATTCACTATCCTGTTTCTTTTAGCAGTAAAATATCTGGGTGAGGAAAAGTGAAGGGGGTGGCATTGTCAAAGATCTGTGTGGAGCTGTTTTCATTTTTCTATATCCCTAAGAATATGTACCTAGGAATGGAATTGCTTTGTCATATGGTAACACTGTGTTTAGCTTTCTGAGGAACTGCCAAACTTTTCCAAAGTGCACCATTTTACATTCCTACCAGCAGTGTAGGAGGGTTTAACTTTCTCAGCATTCTCGTCAACACTTGTTATTTTCAGTTTTTTGGTTATGCCATACTAGTAGGTATAAAGTAGTATCTCATTGTGGTTTTAATTTACTTTTCCCTGATAGCTAATGATACAGAGTATACAAATGTTTATTGGCCATTTGTATATCTTCTTTGGAGGAATGTTTATTCAGATCTTTTGCCTATTTAAAAATTTTTTTTGGTCTTTTTATTATTGAATTGTACTGACACTATTTTGTTATATTTTGCTATAATCTCTGTTTATGCCTGATTCTTTTTTTCTTCTTTTTTTGATTGGAGTTAAGGGGAGGATAATAGTAGGCATGGTGATTTTTCTTGTTGTATTTTCTCCCTCCTTTGCAATCATTTCTTTTGTCCTTAAGATTTGATGCAGTTTGATGATAAAGGAAACAAGACCAACGTTCCAGATAAGGAGCGGCAGATTGAGGCTCTCCAGTTGCTCTTCCTCATTCTCCCTCCACCCAATCGTAACTTGCTGAAGTTATTGCTTGATCTCCTGTACCAGACAGCAAAGAAACAAGACAAGAATAAGATGTCTGCCTATAACCTTGCCCTTATGTTTGCACCCCATGTCCTGTGGCCGAAAAATGTGAGTGTTGAGGGGAAGAGCAAAGACTGCTTGGTTTTCTTGGGCTGGGCCTCATCCTCGGGCTGGGCCTCATCCTCTGGCTGTACCTTGGTGAGGTTATCAAGGGTCCAAGGTCTACTCTTCAACTTTACAAGGTTAGGAACATACTTTATTAGTTCATTAGGGAGTCATCAAACCTGAAGGGGCCAGTTCTTGTAACCTCATGTATAAATCAATCCCTGATAAACCTGAAAGACAATTTATTAATGGAAGCTCTTAGTGGAAAATTACAGCTACTACCTAAACTATTGCCTGGTCACTGTATATTCCTTCTTAACAGGAAAACCTTTTGAGAAATCAGATTGATTTCTGAAGATTGTGTGGTATAAATTTAGACTAGACCCATACAATTTTACAGGATAATGTCACTAAGCTTTTAGGTAAGATGATACAGAACAATCCTGCCTTATCCTGACTTTTTTATTTCCTGTAGATAAGCTCTCAATGGAAAAAGCTGAATGTGTTTTTTATTACTGAAATCATGGCTTTTTTTTTTTTTTAAGATTTTATTTATTTATTTGACAGAGAGAGAGTTAGCGAGAGCAGGAACACAAGCAGAGGGAGTGGGAGAGGGAGAAGCAGGCTTCCCGCCGAGCAGGGAGCCGGATGCGGGGCTCGATCCCAGGACCCTGGAATCATGACCTGAGCCGAAGGCAGACGCTTAACGGCTGAGCCACCCAGGTGCCCCATGAAATCATGGCTTTCTCAGTGACTTACATGAGAAATAAATTATCAAAAGTCTTTTGAACTCATTTTTGACCTGGAGGCACATAGCTTTATGTTCCTGCCCATTCATATATATATATATTTTAAAGATTTTATTTATTTATTTGCGAGAGAGATGGGGGCGGGGAGAGAGCACGAGCAGGGTGAGGGGCAGAGGGACAAGCAGACTTCCAGCTGAGGAGGGAGCCTAATGCGGGGCTTGATCCTGAGACTCCGGGATCATGACCTGAGCCGAAGGCAGACGCCTGATTGACTGAGCCACCCAGGTGCCCCTGTTCCTGCCCATTCATAATATAGGTTTTATTGTATGATGGAATTGGGAGCCAGAATATTTGGGTTGGAAGCTGCAAACCAGCTATGTTATCTGTGTCCTTTGCCCTTTTTATGCTTAGGCTCTTCCTCTGTAGACTGGGCATAAATTAGTTCTTTATCACTTATCTCATAAGGTTGTTAGAATAGAAACAGATAGAATATGATGACTTATAAAAGATTTTCCAGCTTATAAGAAATGAGAAAAGGAAGATTAAGGAGAGCAGTTGTGGAATGCGTGGCTGGCTCAGTCAGTAGAGCTTGCGACTCTTGATCTTGGGGTTGTGAGTTCCAACCTCACATTGGGCTCATGGAGCTTACTTTATCCAAAAAAAAAAAAAAAAAAGAAAGCTGTTATGTAGAACATTTTACATAACAAGGGACTAGTGAAAAAAATGTGATGTTCTGGGCCAGGAAGAACCTCTGCCCAGACAAAGGTTGGGGGTGGGGGCGGGCTCTAAGAAGAAAAGGATACAACAACATTTGTCCATATTAAGGAGATCAAGCCTCCTAAAGAAAGAATTTCCCAGAACCAGCCAACTGAAATTATGAAAAGAGTGAGTAATCTGTGCCTATAAAAAGAAATATTAAGGGGCGCCTGGGTGGCTCAGTCATTGGGGGTCTTCCTTCGGCTCAGGTCATGGTCCCAGGGTCCTGGGGTCAAGCCCCGCATTGGGCTCCCTGCTCCGCGGGAAGCCTGCTTCTCCCTCTCCCACTCCCCCTGCTTGTGTTCCCTCTCTCATTGTCTCTCTCTCTGTCAAATAAATAAAATCTTAAAAAAATATATTAAGAGATCTTGGTAAAAGCAAACAGATTAAGTAACAGAGATGAAGGCTTTGGGATAGTCTAGTGCTCAAGTACTTAAAAAAGAGGCAGGAGAAACAAGAAAATCAATGACCATTTGTGTTTTTTTTTTTTTTTTTTTTTAAAGATTTTATTTATTTATTTGAGACAGAGAGAATGAGAGACAGAGAGCATGAGAGGGAGGAGGGTCAGAGGGAGAAGCAGACTCCCTGCTGAGCAGGGAGCCCGATGTGGGACTCGATCCCGGGACTCCAGGATCATGACCTGAGCCGAAGGCAGTCACCCAACCAACTGAGCCACCCAGGCGCCCGACCATTTGTGTTTTTAAGACATAGATGTCACCTTTGGTATCAGTTAGTAGTGACAGTTCTCTCGCCTTTGGAGAAACTCCAGTTTCTCTGAAGAGGCAGTGTCCTTGGTGTTTGGTATAGATTCTGTTCTTCCTGCCTAGATTTTTTGAATCCCAGAATAGATTTTCTTTAGCAACTCTGCTTACATGTGTAATTCTCAAGCAGAATTTGGAAACAAAGATTGGTTTGCAAGGATTTCTTGGTGACTTCAGGGACACGTGGTTTCTTCTAGGTTATGTCATATTCATTAGAAGCCTGCTAACCAAAAAGACTTTCCAGAATTAAACATTATATTAGAGGCACCTTTGTTAGGGAAGGAAGCCACTATACCTTTGAAGGAATAAGCTTATTGGTAAGTAAATGGAGTATCTCTTCTACTTCCCAGCCCTTAATCCCCCTCTTTTGATTTCTTTTCCTCTGAATAGGTCACTGCAAATGACCTTCAAGAGAATATCACAAAGTTAAACAATGGGATGGCTTTTATGATTAAACACTCCCAGAAACTTTTTAAGGTAGGTAACGGATGGGATTTGGGTGGTAATAGGACAAGGAGGTTGAAGCATGGTGGGATCCTCAGCAGGGCTATAAGGATGACTAATAAAAAAGGCCCTGACTGGGACTTGAAACCAGATTGGACAGTGGCAAAACCCGGAGATATCGACCAAGGTGGGGAGGAATAGGAAGATACCGGGAGGCTGAGTAGGATAATTGGCTCCACGCTGGGTCGTCTTTCCTTTTTCATGAAGGGCAGTGTGTATTGGCATTTGAGTGAGTTTATCCTGCCTGCTTCCTGCCAGTAGAGTTTTGAGGGTCTGACAGTCTCTTTTCATTTTGTACTTTGTCCCTTTTAGTCCAAACTATCAATATTTCTGCCCACATAATTTTCTCAAGTTCGTGGTTCTGTGGATTTTGGAGGGATTCACTCTGTTAGACAAAAGCCACATATACAGATCTTTTGAAGACAAACCCTTCTCTACCATGGTCTCCTGCTGAGAAGACTGAGAGACTTTCACCTTCCTAGAGGCCCTCTGGTTTGATTGAGAGGATCTCTTTATTCTCTTGAAAGGGCCCTTTGTGTGACTGAAAATTTTGACCTTTTGATGTTTCTAAGATTCAAACAAAAAGTTGTACAGTCGTATCCTTGGTCTTTTCTTTAGCGCACACGTTCCTGATAGTGAATTTCTCAATTTTAGTGTCTTGCCATCTAGAAAGGCTGAGAATTGAGAGAGAAGTTCTCTATATAAATGGAATCATGCTTTTTGTGATTAGCTTATTTCACTTAGCATGTTTTCAAGGTTCGTCCATGTTGTAGCATTTGTCAGAATATCCTTCTTTTTTTAAGGATCAGTAATATCCCTTTCATTGTATATACCACATTTGCTTATCATTTATCTGTTGTGGACACTTGGGTTGCTCCTAGTTTTAGCTCTTGTGGATAATGCTGCTATGAACGTGGGTGTACAAATATCTTTTTTGAGACACTGCTTTTAATTCTTTTGGGTATGTGTCCAGAAGTGGAATTACTGGATTACATGGTAATTCTAACAGAACTGCCATACTGTTTTCTGTAGCTGCTGTATCATTTTACATTCCCACCAGTGATGTACAAGGTTTCCCATTTTTTCACATCCTCACCAACACTTATTTTGTTATTTTGGTTTTTTTGGTAATAGTTATGAAGTGGTATCTCATTGTAGTTTTGATTTGCATTTCCTTAATGATTAGTGAGTTGTTGAGCATCTTTTCATGTGCTTATTGCCTATTTTCATGTCTTCTTTGGAGAAATGTCTGTTCAAGGCCTTTGCCTGTTTTTAAATTGGGTTGTTCTTTTATTGTTGAGTTGTAGGAGTTCTTTATGTATATCCGGATAGATATATGATGTGCAAATATTTCCTCCCATTCTGTGGGTTGCCTTTTTACTCAGTTAGTAGAGTCTTGCTACACAAAATTGAAAATTTTTTGTGAAGTTTCCCATTTGTTTATATTTTTCCTTTTGTTTCCTGTGCCTTTGGTGTCATATGCAAGAAATCTTTGCCAAATCCAGTGCTGCGAAGCCTTTGTCCTGTGGTTTTAAAAAAGAATTTTATAGTTTTAGGTCTTATATTTAGGTAATGAATCTATTTTGAGTTAATTTTTCTATATGGTATTAGGTAAGTGTCCAGCCTTATTCTTCTGCTATGGATATCTAGTTTTCCCAGCATCATTTGTTGAAAACCTGTCCTTTTTCCATTGAATAGTCTTGACATGCTTATCGAAAATCATTTGACCATATATGTGAGGGTTTATTTCTGGACTCTCTGTTCTATTCAGTTAGTCTATATGTTTGTCTTTATACCAGTACCACACTATTGTGATGACTACAGCTTTGTAGTAAATGTAGGGTGTGAACATAGAGGCCACCCTAGGATTTATCGACTATAGGATGGTGAATGATCCAGAGTCCAGAGTTTAGAAATGAAAGATCAGAATCTTAGTAGGCTGGTAGACAAAGGGTCAGGGCTGTATCAAGGGCTTGGGTGCTCAGGTCAAAGGTTATCATCAGTTAGAGGTCAAGATCTAGATAAGTGGATTAGAACAGTAGACAAAGGACAATAGGACAAAGAATGTTTTTTTGTTTTTTGTTTTTAGAGAGCGAGCCAAGTGCATTATCAGGGAGGGGCAGAGGGAGAGGGAGAGAGAGAATCCCAAGCATGCTGTGCGCTGGCTGTGGAGCCTGATGCAGGGCTTGATCTCACGACCTTGAGATCATGACCTGAGCCGAAATCAAGAGTTGGATGTTCGGGCGCCTGGGTGGCTCAGTTGGTTAAGCGACTGCCTTCGGCTCAGGTCATGATCCTGGAGTCCCTGGATCGAGTCCCGCATCGGGCTCCCTGCTTGGCAGGGAGTCTGCTTCTCCCTCTGACCCTCCCCCCTCTCATGTGCTTGCTCTCTCTCATTCTCTCTCTCTCAAATAAATAAATAAAATCTTTAAAAAAAAAAAAAAAAGAGTTGGATGTTCAACTGACTGAGCCACCCAGGCGCCCCGAATGAATGGTTTTTAATGATGAACAAAGATCTTTCAAACTTGTTCTTTACATACTTCCTATTGAGGGGAACAACTAGTTCCAAAACACGTGATGATGGAGAGTAAGGTAGTTCCCTGACAGTAGTTGTGAATCAAAATGAGATAATTTCTAATGAGGTAGTTCCTAATAGAACTCTCCTTCGTTGAATTCTCTTGTTACCATCGCTAAATTAAAAATAAAATTGCTATAGGGTTAACTTTTCATAGTCTACTACTCACAAATTAAAAGACAGATCTCAGAGCTTTCGCCACACCCCACAGTTTCTAACCTTCCACCTTCTGATCTCTTTTCCTGTGCAGTCCTTTCTCCCTTGTCCATTGTCCAGTGTACATAATTCAAGTGTACAATGAAGTTGTACCTAACTGAAGGATTTTAAGTGACTTAGCGCAAATCTGTTATCTTACAGTTCTGTAGGTCATACGTCTACATGAGTCTCACTGGTCTAAAATTAAGGTTGGTAGGGCTGCATTCATTTTTGGATGTTCTAGGAGAGAATTTCTAGAGGTTGCACACATTCCTTGGCTCATGGTCCCCTTCCTCTATCTTCAAGGCTAGCAATGTTATATCTCTCTATTATTTCTAACTACAGCTGGGAATGTTTCTCTGCTTTTAAGGACCCATCTGGATAACCTAGGTAATCTCCCCATTGCAAGGTTCTTAACTTAATCACACCAATACTTCTCTTTTACCATGTAAGATAACATATCACTGTGAAGGATTTTGAGAATAGAAATCATACAAATCTTAAGAGATAAAACAAGAGTATGGTCTCCCAGATGTAATTCAGCTTGGTACAGTTCTAATTGTTAAACCCTTTCAAACATTCTGTTTTTTACTCTTCTTTTTCCTTTTATAGATCCCTATTTCAGCTCCTCCTCTTTAGGGCTTTGATTCTTGTTTGCTACTTTACCTTTGTTTCCAGCCTAGTGTGAGCCCTCTATGAGCCTCTGTTGATTTCTGAAGGAGAGAAAGAACATTTCTTTTGAGATGTATTTTGGTCTTAGGTCTCTCCTTTTTGATATTCCCATCAGAACTGTTGTCCTTACGGGCCCCTGCTTCACCACTTTGACTGGGTTCTTCCCTGACCTTTTCCTTTGGGTGGAAAACGGTTGATTGTTCTGTGTGCTCTATCCCTATTCTGAGGTCCTGTTTTACCCCAGACTTCTTGTTCTTGTACTTTGTTGTGTCTTCTTGTTCTCAGGCTTCTTTGGGTGGACTTTTAACCTAATCCACAGAACTCATTCTGTGTTCTTTGGGTTTTTTTTTTTTCCCTTAAAATTCCTCCTATTGGGCGCCTGGGTGGCTCAGTTGGTTAAGTGACTGCCTTCGGCTCAGGTCATGATCCTGGAGTCCTGGGACTGAGTCCCGCATCGGGCTCCCTGCTTAGCAAGGAGTCTGCTTCTCTTTCTGACCCTCACCCCTCTCATTCTCTCTCTTTCTGTCATTCTCTCTCTCTCAAAAATAAATAAAATTAAAAAAAAATTCCTCCTATTTATAGTTCTAACCTCTGCTATTATCAGTCCCTCTGACCTAGTCTGTTTCTCTTTTTTAAGATTTATTTATTTGAGAGAGAGAGAGAGTGCCGCTCCTCACCCCCCCAAACTCCCCTCCCCCCCAGTTTGGAGAGGGGCAGAGGGAGAGAGACTCAAGCAGACTCCCCACTGAGTGCAGAACTGGACATGGTGCCTGACTTGGGGCTTGATCCCACGATCCATGAGATCATGACTTGAGCTGAAACCAAGAGTCAGAGGCCCAACTGACTGAGCCACCCAGATGTCTCTGACCCAGTCTGGTTTTATCTCCCCAACATGGGTCACAACATCTTTTCTTAGGGACTTATAACCATCTACAATTAAGGCCAATTCCCATTTTATGTGGAAAGGCCTTTTGTTGATTCCCTCTGAACTGTAAAATACTTAACACCTCCAGATTTTCATTTAAACCCATCCGCTTCTGGCTCCCTTTCTGGGTATCTCTTAAGCTCATAGTGTCTTTTGGGGGCAGAGGTGTTTTTGTTTTTCCTTTTTTTAAATTTAATTTTTTAAAAAGTAATCTCTACACCCAATGTGGGGCCTGAACTCACAACCCCAAGATCAAAAGTCGCATGTTCCACTGACTGAGCCACCAGATGCCTGTTTTGTTTTTGTTGTTGTTGTTGTTGTTTTTTTTTTAAAGATTTTATTTATTTATTTGAGAGAGAGAATGAGAGACAGCACAAGAGGGAAGAGGGTCAGAGGGAGAAGCAGGCCCCCCGCCGAGCAGGGAGCCCGATGCGGGACTCGATCCCGGGACTCCAGGATCATGACCTGAGCCGAAGGCAGTCGCTTAACCAACTGAGCCACCCAGGCGCCCAAATATCTTTTTTTTTTTTTTTTAAAGATTTTATTTGACAGAGAGATAGAGAGAGCAGAAACACATGCAGGGGGAGTGGGAGAGGGAGAAGCAGGCTTCCCGCCGAGCAGGGAGCTGGATGCGGGGCTCGATCCCAGGACCCTGAGATCATGACCTGAGCCGAAGGCAGATGCTTAACGACTGAGCCACCCAGGCACCCCTTTTTATGAACATCTTTATGGACAAAGGTTTATAGTTATTCAAAGTATTAGTCAATTTCAGTTGTTAGTTTTAATTTTCAAATTGTCTCAAATTTGGCCAGTGAGAGCCCTTGCAAGCTTTCCCTGCTGTGTCTTTTTTTGACAGGACTCCATTAGTCTGAGTGTTTTCTTCCTGGCATAAAATGTCCCCAGCTCACTTTGCATTTGCTCTGCCCTGGGCCTGGAGTCAATTATTTTCTTCAAGGAGCCCTGGTTTCTTTGAGTGACACTAGTTGTACTCATTGTTTCTGGGGTATCATTGCTTTTAGGCTCTTTGAGGGCAAGAAGTTTAGATTAAAATTCTTTTTAAAAAGAAATCATTGGTTCATATTAATATTTCCAATTCAGATTTAACATTCCAGAGCTTTTTCTTGACTTCTTTTATTTTATATTTGTATCTGTTTTGCACATTGCAAATTCCAGATTTTAATAGCACTTACATGTTATTTGCTTTATCCTTCAATATATAAAATATCAGTATATAAAAAATTAGTTTTAGGGCTAATAGTTAGGTGGGTCAGTCAGTTAAGCGTCTGCCTTTGGCTCAGGTCATGATCTTGGGGTCCTGGGGTGGAGCCCTGTGTTGGACTCCCCACTCAGTGGGAGTCTGCTTCTCCCTCTCCCTCTGCCCCCCTACCCCCCCCCGACTTGTGCACGCTTTCTCTCAAATAAATAATAAAATAAATCTTTAAAAAAATTAGTTTAAAAAATAAGCCCATGTAAACCTGCTAATGGAAGTTTAAGATTTAAGATTTCCTTACAGTTCCTTTTCCCTTGAATATATCTCACTAAGGATGTATAGTCAGGATACAGTTTTCAGAAGTTAGGTAGAATAATTCTTTTTCTGTGTTTATGTTATCAATCATATACACAGATATACTCATTTTTTTTTTTCCTGTTTGTGTTCAGTTTTAGGGTTTGCCTTTTTTTCCTTTTGGATTTAATCGTATTTTTTGAATCTGTAGAATATTTACGTGGTTCGAAAGTCAAAACTACACAAAAAGGTATACTTAGATAAATCTCAGTTTGTTTTGTGAGTAAAGCGATAGACATTTATTAAGTGAAGATACAGAAAAAGCTCTTGGGGCGCCTGGGTGGCTCAGTCGTTAAGCATCTGCCTTCGGCTCAGGTCATGGTCCCAGGGTCCTGGGGTCAAGCCCCGCATCGGGCTCCCTGCTCCGCGGGAAGCCTGCTTCTCCCTGTCCCTCTCCCCCTGCTTGTGTTCCCTCTCTCGCTGTGTCTCTCTCTTGTCAAATAAATAAATAAAATCTTAAAAAAGAAAAAAAAAGAAAGAGAAAGCTCTCAAGAGTGAGAGAGGCCCCAACAGGTTGCCCTCTTCTTTCATTTTTAATGATAGATAGTCCTGTGTTGTATGGATGTGTAAAAATTCATTCAACCAGTCTTCTATTAATAGACGTTTAGGTTGTGTTTAATCTTTTGATTAATCTCATCCAAGTATGTTTTTGATTTCTGGAGTTGTTATCATCAGGATAGTTTTCCCAAAGTGAGATTTCTGGGTTAAAGGGTAAATGAAAATGTAATTTTCTTAGATGTTGCCGAATTCTCTCCTGTAGCGGTTGTATTATTTGATGCTACTGCTAGTATTGTATCAGGATATGTGTCATAGAATTCTGGGCAGTACATCAATGAGCTAAATTCTTTCTTGTCTCTTGTTACCCCATAGTAATTCTAAATGGTATTTTCTTTTTTTTTTTTTTTAAAGATTTTATTTATTTATTTGAGAGAGAATGAGATAGAGAGCATGAGAGGGGGGAGGGTCAGAGGGAGAAGCAGACTCCCCGCCGAGCAGGGAGCCCGATGCGGGACTCAATCCAGGGACTCCAGGACCATGACCTGAGCCGAAGGCAGTCGCTTAACCGACTGAGCCACCCAGGCGCCCCTCTAAATGGTATTTTCTGTACAGTGATTTTAAAATGTGACTTAGGGACCACTTGTAATTTGTAAGGTTTTTTTTTTTTTTTTTTAAGATATATTTATTTGAGGGACAGTATTGTCTTTTCAAAAACAGTTTTCCTGTCAGATTTGTTGAGATATCATTTTGGTGGCAAGAGATAGGAAGCTATGGAATAGGGCATTTTAAGGATCTTTTGATTTTCTGAAATAATCTGCCAGTCATATTATTTCGAGAATCACTATTCTTGTGGTCTGAAAGAATTTTAGATACTGCTAACTACTTGTTCTTGGTTTTCTTTTTATATCCTGCCCAGGCTCCTGTTTATATTCGGGAATGTGCCAGATTGCACTATTTGGGCTCCAGAACTCAAGCATCAAAGGTAAGAATAGGAAACTGCTCTTAGCCCAAACAAGGAGACAGTTAATTAAGATTAGTAGAGTTTTAAAACAAAGTGTGAAATCAGAGTAAAGCCATGGAAAATAAAATGTTGCTGCTGTTATAGTTCAAAGTTATCTAGTCACTTTGAGATAAGGAAAAAGACTGAGAGGAAAGTTATATGTTGAAATAAAAGTGCCCCCACATAGAATCTTCTTGTTTCCTTTCAGAGGTGTTACACTGGTGGATGGTATCCCGTACATATGAGTGATGGCATAGACTGCATGTTTAAAGGTTTTCATAAAGCCCCTGTGCATTCTTATAGCATATGATATAAACAGGCTGTAAATAGCAAATGTATTAAATATTTTACAGCAATAAATCATGGTTTTCGATAATACATTCTTATTTCAGGTTCAGTGGTAACACTCTGTCAAACGTCTCAAAGACTTGAGACCACATGAGCTTAGAAAGCAAATGTGTGATGCTTATTAATAAGATTATGTATAATTATTAAGCTTTAAAACTGAGAAGTTTAAAAAAACTCCACAAGTACTTTTTTTTTTTTTTTAAAGATTTTATTTATTTATTTGACAGAGAGAGATCTAGCGAGAGCAGGAACACAAGCAGGGGGAGTGGGAGAGGGAGAAGCAGGCTTCCAGTGGAGCAGGGAGCCTGATGCGGGGCTCGATCCCAGAACCCTGGGATCAGGGCCTGAGCCGAAGGCAGACGCTTAACAACTGAGCCACCCAGGCGCCCCTACACAAGTACTTTTTGATGATCTCTATTTAGTCTGTCTTGGTTAGGAACTTATGCTGTCATCTTATGCTGTTGTTTCTGCTTCTCTTTGTTTCTACCTCTCATTCAGTAAATATTTGGTGTGACCAGGAAAACAGTATTTGATTTCAACTAGTTTAACTGGAGTGTAGCTTTTCTTTTCCTTTTTTTTTTTTTTAAAGATTTTTTAAAAATTTATTTATTTGAGAGAGAGAGAATGAGAGAGGGCAAGCACATGAGAGGGGGGAGGGTCAGAGGGAGAAGCAGACTCCCCGCCGAGCAGGGAGCCTGATGCGGGACTCGATCCAGGGACTCCAGGATCATGACCTGAGCCGAAGGCAGTCGCTTAACCAACTGAGCCACCCAGGCGCCCTGGAGTGTAGCTTTTCTTAGAGAGGTGTTTCTGTTCCTCAACCACTGCTGTGTAGTTGTCCCATCATATTGTTGTGTGTAGCAAAGAGCACCAACCAAGAGCCTGTGCACTTGGTCTCCAGGATGGGTCTGTCACTTTAGTATCTAAATGACTTTAAACTTAGAGCTTAACTTTAATTTTTTCTTCTATCAAATGGGAATGATGATACTTTCCCTGCTTACCTTGTAGGAAAGCAGTGAGAGTTATGTGCAATTAAAAGGCTTTGAAAATTGAACTCATATAAATATAATTTTTGGTAGCAATATTCTAAATGAATTTAGGTTCTCTAGGGAGGTCTTGGGAGTGGGCTATTAATATAGTCTATAATTACAGGTTTCTCTTCATGTGATAATTATATTTAGATTTTTCTTATTCCTAAGTATAAGAGTATACCACGCTCCCCACTTCTTCCTCCTTTTTTGTTTCAGGGGTTGTGGGAACCTGAAAACAAAGCTGGCAGGATATATTAATTCGCGTTTCTTTAAAATTTTCTCTAGGATGATCTTGATCTGATAGCTTCATGTCCTACTAAGTCCTTCCAACGGGCAAAATCTCAGAAACGGAACTGGGTAGATTCCTGCTCTCACCAGGAGGAGACCCAGCAGCGTACAGAAGAGGCACTGAGAGAGTTGTTCCAACATGTTCACAATATGCCAGAGTCAGCGAAGAAGAAACAACTTATTAGACAGGTACCTGAAGGCACAGAAACAGTGATGGGGCTTTAGGACTGTGATCAAGGTTGTGGAATCACTAGGGAATATTGCTAAGAATCTCATATAATTTTTGGCTCTTATTGGCCCAAGCTTGGCTTGGCTTAGGAAAGCAGACTTGTCAGTGGAACCTCAACGTCAGTCTCTGTACTACTGCCCCATTACAGAAAAGGGTGGAGGCTCTTCTATTTCTAGAGTTAAACAGAAGGATCCAAGTATGGTTAGAGTTTCTCTAATTTTGGTCATGTACCAGGCATGCTGAGAAGAGAACCAGCAGTTGCAATATATTGCTCCAAAGTTTAAATCCTTCACATTTTCTTGGCAAATAATTTAATCTTTCTGAATTTCAATTTCCTTGTTTTTTATTTATTTTTTATTTTTTTTAAGGTTTTATTTATTTGACAGAGAGAAAGACAGCCAGAGAGGGAACACAAGCAGGGAGGGTGGGAGAGGGAGAAGCAGGCTTCCCACAGAGCGGGGAGCCTGATGCGGGGCTCGATCCCAGGACCCTGGGATCATGACCTGAGCCGAAGGCAGACACTTAACGACTGAGCCACCCAGGTGCCCTGCAATTTCCTTATTTTTTAAATGGTAGTTGAAATGTCCATGTTTCATGACTATATAAAGATTAGAAAGAATCTATGTAAAGTGGCTGGCATAGCAGAGCAAAAGTGGTAGCTCTTACTAATGAGTTGTTTACAGTTAGAAAACACTGTGAATTCAGGGACCTAGTTTGATATTAGAAAGTAGGAATTCTGGTAGCTAAGTTTGTTTATTTTGGAGTTAACGGGAGCAAAATTAGGTCTCTCATTTGCCATTTTGAGACTCAAAATGTAGTTTGAGTAAATCCCAATGATTTCGTTAGTTTCTTTCTTGGGAAATTTATTTTGTCTCTATCCCTCTTGAATTTTAGCTGAACAGGCAAAGTCAGCTTCTTGACTTCTTACTCAACTGGGACCTTCATGAGGGAAGTTTGTGTTTTTATTGATTTTTTATGCCTAATCTGAAGCATAGGGCCAGACATAACCATGTGCTCAGAAAATGTTGAACTGAGCTGTTCTTAACAATTGATAGAGTCCTTCAAGAGAAGTTTTCTGTTACACTCTTTGAAGTTACTTTGATATCTAGCAAATTGTGTTATGACTGGAATTTTCAAGGGTGTTGGCTGAGTATTATCACAGATTCAAAGAGATGTAGTGATTTATTCTCGATGGAAACTAAGACAGCAGTTCAGGGGGGCAAAGTGTCATGAATTCTGTCATCAAGAAAGCAGAAGCTTGGGGCGCCTGGGTGGCTCAGTCGTTAAGCGTCTGCCTTCGGCTCAGGTCATGATCCCAGGGTCCTGGATTGTGCCCCACATCGGGCTTGCTGCTCAGCGGGAAGCCTGCTTCTCCCTCTCCCACTCCCCCTGCTTGTGTTCCCTCTCTCGCTGTCTCTCTCTGTCAAATAAATAAATAAAATCTTTAGAAAAAAAAAGAAAAAAGAAAGCAGAAGCTTAAAGATAATACAAAGGAAAAACTGACATCATTTTTGCTCTTTCTAGAAAAATAGGAACTCATAGAGCAGGTTAAGAAGAAAACAAATCATTCATCCCACCAGGGTTAACATTTTGGATCTTTCTTTCAATCTTTTTCCTATTGATAAATTTCTACATAGTTTGGATCATACCACATACTTTCTTTGATCTCTCTCTTTTCTTTTTTTTTTTTTTTATAGATTTTTATTTATTTATTTGACAGAGAGATAGAGAGAGAGCACAAGTAGGCAGAGCGGCAGGCAGAGGGAGAGGGAGAAGCAGGCTCCCCACTGAGCAGGGAGCCGGACGTGGGGCTCGATCCCAGGACCCCAGGATCATGACCCGAGCCGAAGGCAGCCGCTTAACCGACTGAGCCACCCAGGCGCCCCAGTCTCTCTCTTTTCATTAAACATTACAGCATAAGCATTTTCTTGTGCATGCTTGTGAACTCCTTGCCTACATTTAAAATATTGCCACTTTGGGGACGCCTGGGTGGCTCAGTCGGTTAAGCAGCTGCCTTCGGCCTGGGTCATGATCCCAGGGTCCTGGGATCGAGTCCCACATCGGGCTCCTTGCTCAGCAGGGAGCCTGCCTCTCCCTCTCTCTCCCTCTGCTTGTGCTCTCTCTGTCAAATAAATAAAATCTTAAAAAAAAAATAAAAATAAAAAAAATAAAATATTGCCACTTTGTTTTGACGAAACTATAATTTTACTAGTTCCTGATTTTCCTCTGTTATTATAAAAATAGTAAATATTCACTGTAGAAGCAGTGCAACCTGCAGAAGAGTGTAAAGAAGAAAATCACCTGTAATCATCCTGAGATAACCACTGATAAAAGTTTTGGAGTATTTTCTTCTATGATTATTTTCTTTCCATGAACATGTATTTGACTTTTTTTTCCTTTTGTTTGAGATCATAATATATATTCAGTTTTTAAAATTCCTATCCTTGTCATTTAACATTATATCATGATCATTTTCCATGTTGTTAAAAGGCTGTGAACATTTTACAGCTGCATAATATTTCATTACATATAACTTAATGTATATACAGTTTGTCCACTATTGGACACATTTGGGAATTAGATTATTTTTTAGCTTATAAATTTTTGTTCATAGGTATTTTCATTGCAGAGTTTTCCCTAGAAGTGGCATGACCAAAGGGTATGCATTTTTTTTTCTGGTAATAGCTGTTGGGTCCCTTTTAATATATAGGTCTCCCTTTCTCTCCTCTCTTCTTGTTTTCCCCCTAAAAAATTGCCAAAGTTTGTTTGAATAAACTTAAATTTGACATAATTTAGATTTAGAGAAAAATTGCAAAGATAGTACAGAGAGTTCTCACGTACCCTCCACTAAGGTACTCTACCTAACGTTAACATTGTTAAAACTAAGAAATTAACATTGGTGTATTACTATTAACATGAGATATTTTATTCAGATTTTAGCAGTTTTTTTGCTAATACCCTTTTTCTGTGCCAGAACCTAATCCAGGTTACTACACTGCATTTAGACCCACACATACACACATTCTCTTTCCCTCTCTCTCTCTGCCCTTTGTTTGTGAAAGAAACCATATAGTTTGTTTTCCACAGTCTAGATTTTGCTGGTTGCACCCTTGTGGTGTTACTGAACATGTTCCTCAATCCTCTATATTTATGATAAATTTGTAGTTAGATCTAATTCTAGAAGCTTGATCTGAATACCAATTAGTTTTATTTATTTAGTTTTTGGGTAAGAACTTCATAGGTAGTGTGTATTTTTTAATACAGTAGTTCCTGCCCCTTAGCTATGGGGGATGCATTCCAAGACCCCCCAGTGGATGCCTGCAAACCACAGATAGTACTGAACCATGTATATACTGTGGGTTTTTTAAAATACATATATACTTACAATAAAGTTTAATTTATAAATTGGGCACAGTGAGAGATTAACAATAATAACTAATAAATAGAACAAGTATAGCAGTATACTATAATAAAAGTTATGTGAATGTGTTGTCTTTCAAAATCCTTACTACACTATACTCATCCTTCCTGTGATGATGTGAGATGGTAAAATACTTATGTGATTAGCTGAAGTGAGCTGAATGACGTAGGCATTGTGACGCAGCATTAGGCTACTACTGACCTTCTGACAATACATCAGAAGGAGGATCATCTGCTTCTGGACTGCAGTTGATTATGGGTAACACCTTGGAAAACAAAACTACAAATAAAGGGGGACTACTGAATGCGTTTTGAAAAGATTCTGGACACACATTGCTAAATAGCTTCCCAGAAAATTATTAATGCTCCCACTAGCTGGATACAAGAGAGCCCCCCCTTCTTGCACCTGCCAACATTATCAGAAATGATGGTTTGTCACTTGTTCCAGTATATCCAGGAGGGATGCTTGCTTTCTGAGCTCTTTAGAAGTGACTAAATTTTCTGATAATTAACTTTGGGAGCTTTTTGGTACCTGTATAATATGTATGAAAAGTGTCATTTTTTTTAAACCTCCAGAACTGAACCTGAACTGATAAAAATTTGCAAAATTACAATTCACATATTTAAAAACTATAGTTAGAAAAGGCAGACAAGTAGAAGAATTAAGTACTATATCATTATTTTTTAACTGGGGAGATGAATGGCTAATCAAAGCATTAAATAAGACGATACAGTGTTTTATGTCTTCCATTTCTCCATGTTAGATACCATCAAACAGAGCTGATATTGATAAAATTGACCACTTTTTATTTTGATGTATTTCCTCTGATAATAATGCTGGCAAGCAGTCATGATAGGTGTCCATTTAAAGAGCTTTAGTAACTTCTTTATTCTGTATGCAATTTATGTTAAATTAAGGACTGTTTTAGGTTGTGCTAGTCACTCTCTATGTCCAAGATACTTTCTGCAAAAAAAACTGGATTACCAGCTGGAGATGTTGGGCAAATTACATAATTCTCTGGGTCTCAGTTTCCTTATCTGTAAAATAGGGGTAATACTTCCAACCTTATAGTACATAAGAAAAAGGAAAATGAAGTGCAGTCTCCTTAGAGTAATTTAATAAATTTTGACTTTTTTTTGGCAACATCATTTCTGCCTTTGAGATTTGCTTGCCAACCTACTAAGCCATATGTGTACAGACTCACTTATTCTTTGGACTTTTCTGGATATTTACATTAGCTTTTGATTGTCATAGAATCCTATCTCTTGATGGGGGAAATAATAGTAAAATGTTTATGTTTTCTCTTAGTTTAATAAGCAATCTGTGACCCAAACGCCAGGGCGAGAATCTTCTCCTCGGGTACAGAAAAGAGCCCGTTCACGTTCCTTCAGTGGCCTTATTAAGGTAGGTATGCTGTGCTGTCGTTTTCAGCATTGACTTAGAGAAAGCTTAACAGTCTGACTTTTCTTATGCGTAAACAGTTTTCTTCTATTCTTTGGGATCCTGTAAAGGGTTCATTTGTAAGAGGATAAGGATAGAATTCGGAAAAACTTTTAGTTTTTACAGCATTTTGCTGTGTTTCGATTTGGAGAAGGGGCTGTACGATTAGAGAGTAAAAGAAAGGTCCTTCCTTCTCTTTGGGACTGAGGACGGAGTCCCCATTCCTGAGCAGTGAGGAGAGTTTGCTTTGTGCTACAAGGTTCACTGCACAGTTTGCAAAAGCTATGGAGAATTGAGGGAGTTGACAGACTCCCAGAAATGGTTAGGAATGGATTTTCTGGTAGGCTAGCAAGTTGACTCAAATTTCTGTAAGCTTAATATTTTAATCAGTTGTATATTCTCTTCCTTTGTATCAAATTACTTAAAAATCTTGTTTTTAAAACAAGTACAGTATCTACTTCTGTGCTGTTGCTGCCATCACCATGCTTGCGGGTTCAGGTACACGTCCTCATGGACGATCTGAACTTGTAGTTAAGGCATATTGCCATCAGGTGGCAGTAGATAATGTGATAACGGGGTTCAAATTTTCAGGCATAAACTAAGGTAAGGTTCTGGTTAACTTGGAGAGAGATTAAGCACAGTTCTGTGTTCTGCTGGTTTTCTTTTTAAAATTGTTTTAACATTATTAAAATCTATAAATCCAGCAAGAGTAATGAGCTCTGATTAAAATGAAAAATAAAAATAAATACCTTGTAATATATATTTTTTTCTTTAAGCTGAATTATTAGTCATTGCTACATCATCTAAGCCTCATTTTGGTCTTAGCTATTATCATTAATAGAAGTTTAGAATTCACTCTCAATCCTGATCTTTGGGGGGCAGTAGCCTCTGAGACATTAGTCTTGCTTACCCTCAAAATTTCCTTTGTGATCAACAGAATGAAAAGGCAACTCACAGAATGGAACAAAATATTTGTAAAACATATGTCTGAGAGGGAGTTAATGTCCAGAATATATAATGAACTCTTACAAAAACAGGAAAAAAAAATTAAAAAATGGGCAAAGGACTTAGACATTTCTCCAAAGAAGATATACAAATGAAAAGATGCTCAATATCACTTATCTGTAGGAAAATGCAAATCAAAACTGCAGTGAGATAGCAAGGCACAGTAGGATGACTATTATTAAAAAAGCCAGAAAATAACAAGTGTTGGTGGGGATGTGGAGACACTGAAACCCTCGTGCACTGTTGGTGGGAATGTAAAATGGTGCACCTGTCATGGATAATAGGATGGCAGTTCCTCAAAAAATTAAATATTCAGCAATTCCACTTCTGGGTATGTACCCAAAAGAATTGAAAGCAAGGACGTGAATAGATAGTTGCACACCCATGTTTGTAGCAGCATTATTCACAGTAACCAAAAGGTGGAAGCCACTCAAGTATCTATTGACAGATGAATGGATAAACAAAGGTTGTATATACATGCGGTGGAATATTATTCAGCCTCAGAAAGAAAGGAAATTCCTTTTTTTTTTTTTTTAAGGATTTTATTTATTTATTTGAGACACAGAGATACAGAGAGAGCACACATAGGGGGAAGAGGCAGAGGGAGAGGGAGAAGCAGGCTCCTGCAGAGCAGGGAGCCCGACATGGGGTTCGATCCCAGGACCCTGGGATCATGACCTGAGCCGAAGGCAGACGCATAATGACTGAGCCACCCAGGCACCCCGAAAGGAAATCCTAACATACGCTACAACATCGATGAGCCTTGAGGACATTATGTTTTTTTTTTTTTTTTTTTAAAGATTTTATTTATTTGAGAGAGCGAGAATGAGAGAGAGAGCGCACATGAGAGGGGGAAGGGTCAGAGGGAGAAGCAGACTCCCCGCTGAGCAGGGAGCCCGATGTGGGACTCGATTCCAGGACTCCAGGATCATGACCTGAGCTGAAGGCAGTCGCCCAACCGACTGAGCCACCCAGGCGCCCCCCGAGGACATTATGTTAAATGAAATAAACCAGTCACAAAGAACAAGTACTATATAATTCCACTTATGTGAGATACCTAGAATAGTCAAATTCATAGAGAAAGAAAGTAGAATGGTGGTTGTCAGGGGCTAAGGGTTTGGGGGGAATTGGGAATTATTGTCTAGTGGATACCCAGGTCCTATTTGGGGAGATGAAAAAGTTGTGGAGTTGGATGGTGGTGATGATTGCACAACAATATGAATGGAATGAACTAAGATGGTAAATTTTGTGTTATTTATATTTTACTATAATTAAAAAGTAATTTATTTTGCTAGAACCCTACCCTAGCAGTATAGTCAACTGCTAGGTGTAGTTCGTAAAATGAACATCATTGTTGGTTCATTTTACTTGGAAGTCTGTCATTCCCTTTGACTTCCTGTCATTGAGCTGATTGATAACAAGAAAAGTTATTAGTCAAATAAAGGTTTCTCTATGTGTCAAACGAATATTTCTTTTTTTTTTTTAAAGGTTCTTGAACTCTTTTTTTTTTTTTTTAAGATTTTATTTATTTATTTGACAGAGAGAGACACAGCGAGAGAGGGAACACAAGCAGGGGGAGTGGGAGAAGGAGAAGCAGGCTTCCCGCTGAGCAGGGAGCCCGATGTGGGGCTCGATCCCAGGACCCTGGGATCATGACCTGAGCCGAAGGCAGATGCTTAACGGCTGAGCCACTCAGGTGCCCCACAAACAAATATTTCTTTAACTGAAGCTAGATGGGTGTAGTTTTCTCTTCCTAGTGAAAGAAAGTTCTGCAGTGCCTTTAGATGTATTGCTAAGTGTGGCTTGAAATGTAAATATGGAGTATCCTCTTGGCAGCTGCCCATTTCTTTATTAAGAGAATTTAGGACTTTAGAATTATAAATGAGCTTATAATTCTATCAGAATTTTAGACATTTTAGAACAATAATTTTAAATAAAAATGTTAACAAATTTTATGAAACAGAAGGATAAATTATTTTTGTTATAAATGAAGAGACTTGAGCTAATAATAGTGGTTTCTGCTCAATAGTGATGGGGTAATGAAATGTCTTTTTTTTTTTTTTAAGGGGATGCTCCACTTTTTAAATTTTATTTTATTTTATTTTTTTTAAGATTTTATTTATTTATTTGAGAGAGAGAGAGTGAGAGAGAGCACATGAGAGGGGTTAGGGTCAGAGGGAGAAGCAGACTCCCTGCTGAGCAGGGAGCCCGATGCGGGACTCGATCCAGGGACTCCAGGATCATGACCTGAGCTGAAGGCAGTCGCTTAACCAACTGAGCCACTCAGGCGCCCTTATTTTATTTATTTATTTATTTATTTAAAGATCTTATTTATTTGACAGAGACACAGCGAGAGAGGGAACACAAGCAGGGGGCGTGGGAGTGGGAGAAGCAGGCTGCCCGCTGAGCAGAGAGCCTGATGCGGGGCTTGATCCCAGGACCCTGGGATCATGACCTGAGCCAAAGGCAGATGCTTAACGACTGAGCCACCCAGGCGCTCCCTTTTTTTTTTTTTTTTTTAAGATTTTATTTATTTATTTCAGAGAGAGCGTGAGGGTGCAAGTGCGAGCAGGGGGAGGGGCAGAGGGAGAGAGGCTCAATATCACCACCCTGAGATCATGACCTGAGCCGAAACCAAGAGTCAGATGCTTAACCAACTGAGCCACCCAGGCGCCCCTGAAATGTCTTTTTAAAAGTTCATTGGAGGGGCGCCTGGGTACCTCAGTCAGTTAGGTGGCTGTCTTTGGCTCAGGTCATGATCTCAGGGTCGAGCCCCACATGAGGTTCCTTGCTGAGCAGGGAACTCCCTCCCTCTCCTCCTCGCTTCTCCCCCCTCCCTGCATGTGCTCTCTCTCTCTCGCTATCTCTTTCTCTCAAATAAATAAATAAAATCTAAAAAAAAAAAAAAAAATTCACTGGAAGCTTTATAGCCGGTCCTGTGGCTCCTGGTATCCCCATTTCAGCTTACTCTGAGGTGATAGCTGATTTCTGAAAGGATAGCTGATTTCTGAAAGGATAGCTGATTTCTGAAAGGAAGATGTAGTGGTCTCATTTTTCCAGCATTTCTGTGTTTTAGCTATTTGATCTATATTCTGCTTTGATCCGTTTCTCGGGCTACACTTTTTCCTCTAGAATTTCTCTTATGTAAATAATTTATTACATTGGAATATTCCTAATATTGCTGCTAAGATTTATATTGTAGAGTTTAATGTTCTAGTTTTGTTAAGTTCTTTTTTGAGGATTTAAACTTACTCTCTAAGAAGAAAAAAGGGAAGGTTTCCCCAAAGATGGTAGAATTGTCACTGTCAGCTGTTAGAGTAGGTTATGTCAGTTTCTAAGCTGCTCAGAGAGGAAAGACTTTTAGTCCTGCTCTGAATGACAGTATGGTCATGTGACCCCCTTAAGAAGGCCTGAACACTCTTGTGGCTGTATTAGAAACTCTTAAAGACTTTCTCCAAGTTTTCTTTTTTTTTTTTAAAGATTTTATTTATTTATTTGACAGAGAGAGACACAGCGAGAGAGGGAACAGAAGCAGGGGGAGTGGGAGAGGGAGAAGCAGGCTCCCCGCAGAGCAGGGAGCCCGATGTGGGACTCAATCCCGGGACCCTGGGATCATGACCTGAGCCGAAGGCAGTCGTTCAACCGACTGAACCACCCAGGCGCCTTTCTCCAAGTTTTCTAATCCTGTGCGAGGACGTGATAGGGAAGCAGTCTTAGAGTGGATGCAGCAGAAGTGTCCCTGAGTAGGGAGGGGGCTCCTAACAGCTGCCGGAGACAACACATCTCGGGGGCAAAAATTATACTGGTAAATAACTGGTGGGGGTTGTTTGTTAATGGTCTCAGAAGCACACTGTAATTGGCCTGCATTAGCTTGTTTAAATCAACTATAAAACTGTTTCTTATATTTCAGCTATTTTAAATATAGAGGAAAAATGATCACCTAAAGAAAGGCAATGATTTCAGGGTTTTTTGTAACATGCTTTGGCCTCCCTTGTATAAGATGGCCTGGGAGAATTTATCAGAAATCTGAAATTCTTTTAAACTAAGAAACTGTAGATTTAAAGACCAGTATGGCTGTAATACAGATATAGTAGATCTTTATAAATCACGTATTTTCTCTTCCTAAATCAGCGGAAGGTCCTGGGAAATCAGATGATGTCAGAAAAGAAAAACAAGTACCCTACTCCGGAATCTGTAGCCATTGGTGAATTGAAGAGAGCCAGCAAAGAAAATATGAACTTAGTAAGATACTGTTCTTTGGACTTCCTCTTTGTGTATATTTGTAGGAAGGAGAAATATTGATAGACTGTCATCTGTTTTACTGTGTTTCTCTGGGCCATTCAACTGTGCCTTTTTCTCAATTCTTTCATTTATGTTGATGGTCAAAAGAAACACATGTGGAGTTCCAGGAGGATATAGCCAGTCATATGCGGAGATGACAAATAACAGTGAAAGAGCTCCGCAAACAAAGTGCTGGAGGGACTAGTTCTTACTGGGAGACTCTATGGGGCAGGTAGCATTTGAGCTGGGCCTACTCGGCACTGCCTTATCTGTTGGGTAGTCCTTCTGGGTATCCCACACATGCTGCTTCATTAAGCCAGCAATAAAATCAGTTAAGACTAATGATATAAATATCATTATATCATAATGATATAAATATAATCAGCCTCAGTAAAACTCTTCACATGGAAACTGAACAAGCAAATAATTCTTCTGTTAGTAAAGTCTGTCTGTAGGAATGACATTAGAGCGTTTAAGCCACTATAAAATGTTTTTGTTACAGTTATTTTCTGGCTCTCCAGCTGTCACGATGACACCAACAAGATTGAAATGGTCTGAGGGGAAGAAAGAGGGGAAAAAAGGTACTGATTGTACTTATTCTGTGTTCTTACTCCGCGTAAGTCCTCTCTGCATCTAGTCCCTCAGTAGTGGTTTGAATTCCCAGTGTCAGAAGCAGCATACAATTGCCAGGCTCGGTCTTTGCCCTTGCCTTTGTTCAGCAAATGGTTATTGATCATCTACTCAGCGCTGTCCCAGGTGCTGACAGGCAGAGCTATGAAGACTGACCCACACGGTCCCTGCATTCTTGGACAGATTTGTCACATGTGAAAAAAATCTTAAGAATTCTTGTTAAGCAAATTAAAAGCAAGTGTAAACTAATTTGTGAAACCAAGTACAGAAGTGCTAAGAATATGCTCAATAAACACGGAATAGTTATGTTTTTTTTCTGTGTAGACTTTGGCCTTGTTTATTCAGTGAGGCTTTCCAGCTAATAAACAGCTGATGGACCCTGCAAATCATATCATACAACATATTTTTGAGGATACTTAGGGCAAAAAAGATTATTTGGTGCGGGGACTGCTGGTTGCCCCAGGCTCCTGGTAAAAGGCAGCCGCTGCTGTCCTTTCCTCTGAAGAAGCTGTGTGGTCCATGGGGAGGACCAGGGGATTTGCTGTACCTGATTTGAGTCATCATTCCTCTGGCCCAGGAAAACCATTCATTCTCTCTCTTTTTTTTTTTTAAAGATTTTTATTTATTTGAGAGAGAGAGAGAGCGCGACAGGCAGAGGGAGAGGGAGAAGCAGACTCCCCACTGAGCAGGGAGCCCAATGTGGGGCTCGATTCCTGACCCTGGGATCATGACCTGAGCCAAAGGCAGATGCTTAACCGACTGAGCCACCCATATGCCCCAAAACCATTCATTCTCTCTCAGCCTGTCTCCTCCTCTGAAAATAGGATAATAGTTATATGGAGTTCACAGATTTCTTATGAGGCTTAATTGAAATAATATTTTAGAAGCATTAACAAGTAGCCATCATTGTGACTAGAGAGAACTGGCTGAGACTTGTTTTGTTTTGTAAGGCTTGTGTGGCAGATGAAGTGATCTCTGGTTTGACATGTGCATTTTACTGCTGAGACATGAGCATAATTATTGAGACATCAGCAATAGAAGGAGAACCAAAGTCCAGTCCTTATGGATAAATCTTTATTCTTTTCTAGAAGATTAGATTTCAGTATAGTCTCATTCCATATCCTTTAATGAAGTATCTGAACGCTCTTTTCTTTCCATCTTGCTTCTGACTTGCAGGCAGGTCTGTCTGATTGAGGGGAGTTGGGTGTTTGAGTTACATGTGTCTAAATATTTCTACGTGTTTGAGTTATTCGTGTCTAAATATTTCTACGTATATATCCGTGAATCATGAATCGTATGTATCCGTGAATCAAAACTACACGTAAGTTATTTTTGAGGGATACATTGTTTTTTTATCAGTTACATCTTTTGTGGCTCTCATTTTTTTTTTTTTTTTTTTAAGATTTTATTTATTTATTTGAGAGAGAATGAGAGAGAGCACATGAGAGGGGGGAGGGTCAGAGGGAGAAGCAGACTGCCTGCCGAGCAGGGAGCCCGATGCGGGACTCGATCCTGGGACTCCAGGATCATGACCTGAGCCGAAGGCAGTCGCCCAACCAACTGAGCCACCCAAGCGCCCCTGTGGCTCTCATTTTTGAAAATAATGAAGAGGGGCGCCTAGGTGGCTCAGTCAGTTAAGCATGTGCCTTTGATCATGATCCCAGGGTCCTGAGATCGAGTCCTGTGTTGGGTTCTCTGCTTGGCGGGGAGTCTGCTTTTCCCTCTCCCTCTGTGACTCTCTCACTCTTGCTCTCTCTCAAATAAATAAATAAAATCTTTAAAATAGAAAAGAATCAAGAAATGGTAAGTCTTTTTATATTGACAATTATACTTTCAGGAGAGAGAAATGCATTAAAGAAATAAGCCAAGTTCATATTTTAGCAGAAGATTTAGAGCAGGGATTCTTGAGCTATTATGTGTGGACCTCCTAAGGGCTCTGATCAAGTTCCTGGTATTGTTGATGTCATTTTATGTGTAGGTGCCTATGTACATTTTTCTGGAGGACAGACATATATAGTTTTATTAGATTCTCAAACATGTGAGTGAATCAGGTGTGCCCAGCTGTCTCTTGGTCAACAGAGCATGTGACTCTTGATCTCAGGGTCATGAGTTCAAGCCCCACTTTGGGCATGGAGCCTACTTAAAAATTGAAAAAAAAAAAAAAGTGATGCAGAAAAGTGGGAGCCCACACATAATGAACACTTTGGATTGGATTGGATTAGACAGTGGCATTTTCATTCTTCTCTCCCCTTGGTCACTTCCTACATCCTGAAAGGCCTGCCTTGGCTGTCATGATGCTACCCTATTCTTGTTCTTCCTTGTGAATTCTTTTCCACCTCTGTGGTAGCTTAAAATTGCTGGCCTACCCCTCCCCTCTTCATTTTTTTTTTTTTTTTTAAGATTTTATTTATTTGAGAGAGAATGAGCACGCGAGTGGAGTTGAGGAGGAGCAGAAGGGGAGGGACAAGAAGACTCCGTGCTGAGCGCAGAGCCCAATGCAGGGCTCACTCTCAGCACCACAAGATCACAACCTGAGTGGAACCAAGAGTTGGACGCTCCTCTGACTGAGCCATCCTGGTGCCCCTCCTCTTTGTGTTTTTAAGTGCTCTATCTTGAGTTCTCTGCTTATCTCTGCTCTTGCTTTTTGCTTCTTAGCAGCTTGGGCTAACCCACAGCTCTATTTTCTCTGTAGGATAACTGCTCCCAGACCTGCATCTCCAGATCTGAACTCTCTTCCAGTTTCCAAGGCCACAGATCCACTTACTTGCCGTCTAATTCTTCTATACAATGAATATGAACTAGAGGTTTTTGATGGTGATTTTGTAAAAGGAATATTATTTGAGGGAAATAATGCAGTTTTATTATCATCATCACGATTACACTCCCAAAAGACATTTCTTTAGCACAGGGTTTCTCAACGTGGCACTGGACATTTTGGGTCAGATAATTCTTTGTCGTGGGGAGCTGCCTTGTGCATTGTACCATGGTTAGCAGTTTCCCCTGGTCTCTACCCGTTAGATGCTAGTAGTACCCTTCTTTCCCCAGTTTTGACAACCAAAATGCCTCCAAACATCGCCAAGTGTCCCCTGGGGAGGAGGGAGCAAATTCACCCCCAGAGGAGAACTGCCGATTTAGCATCTTCTTATTAATGGGCATTATTTTGAGTAGTGAGAATCTTACCCATTCTTCAAAGCCCAACCTAAACCACACGTCCTCTTTGAAACCTTTGGCTAAGCCAGCCAGATGTACGTTTTCCTTTGAACTCTTATTGATGGTACTAAAATGTTGACATTTAGTATGATCTATTGTAGTTATTTACTTCACATGTATTGTCTGATATCTATAGCTGGTTTCTCTCCTGGAACACAAGGGCCAGACTTAAGAATACATTTGTGACCTCCTATCTTCTGTTCTCTTCCTCCCGGTACTGAGTACCTTACCTCTCCTTCTACCTCTACCTCTGAGAGTGCCTTACCTCTAGTAGGCATTTAGTAAGCATTCGCTGCTGAGAGGCGTAGTGGTGGTAAAGCCATGAGTTCTGCATTCAGTTAGGCTTGGTTTCAACTCCCAGCTTTGCTGCTTATATCTATTTATCTTGGGGAAAGTTAACTTGTGTAGGCTTCAGATTCTTCCCCTGTAACATGGCAAGAGCGCTATCTCATGCACAGATTGTTGTGAAGATAAGTGAGGTCATGAACAAAAGGAACTCAGAGCAGAGTCTGGCGCAAAATATGTACTTAGCACAGCGGTAGCTGTTACTGCCATTAAGTTGTTTTAATGAACTGAGATTAGGGCACATGGACAAGGTGGTGTTTACTTGGTAGAAAGTCATAAATTCTCCGTTAAGCTCTTTAACTCTGTTTGTAGAAAATACTAAGTATAGCTTCTCTAGCTTTCAGGTGGGATGTTTGCAAAAAGAAATATTTATAAATGTGCTTAATGTTCTTGTTTTTCTTTCAACCTAGGATTCCTCTGAAGGATCCAGAGTGCTCCTGTTGTCCACCTGGAACTTTCTCTTTAGTGAGCCAGGCATCATTACTGCTCACAGAGAAGCTTGGACTTGCAGCTTGCTGCGTTTTGTATTGTGAAAGTCAACTAATCCTATGACCTGACTGATACCTCTAACCCCACTCACTGGATAATGTCTGCAGACTCTTCTGAATGGGTGCTGGCATCTCTCTCTTTCTCTCTCTCTGAAAACATTATGGGGAAACCACTAACCAGCCAGCCAGCTCACACAGCACAGTAAATGGGCAGAACCAGGTGGGCTCTAGTGCTCATTCCATGTATTTGTTTAAGCAGATATTATTTTTAAAAATATGAAAGTTGTGCTCAACTACCAGTGATTTTTTTTTTTTTTTAAGTACTGTCAGTCCTGGTGGATTGATATTATTTTTAACTGATACTTGGGGCTTTTCTCTGTTTTGATAGTATGGGCGGTATTTTGGTTATTTCTTGTTTATCTGTTGTTTGTTTTTTTTAAAGCCATTTTTTGGATAGGTCATCTAAATTGTGTCTAAGACAGATGTCTTTCCCTTTTTTTTCACTGTAAGCTTTGGGAAAGCTCTTTATCTCATGAGGCCATATTCCTCAATACCATTTGTGTGCAAAGAACTACAGCTTTCCTGGAAATACAAAAATTATTTCTTGGACCTGAGATTGCAGGGTATTTGACCAGCGTTATTGAAAAAGGAGAATTCAGGATGAGAGCATATTTTCACAAATGTCAGTTATTAAACTTTGTCCCTCCTCCCTCCCTTGCCTCTCTTCCCCTTTCCTCAGTGATGCCAAAGTAATTGTGTGGTTGCGGAACTCATCTTCATTCAGTCTCCCTTTGCCTAAAACACCTCTGGTACTTCTGTGCCAAATCACTGTGACCCAAGGGAAGTCACCGGCGGCTCGATAGAGATTTGCTGAAATATCTGAATGTACTGGAAACTCTGGGGTGGGCTAGGATGGGGCCAGCTGGCTTTATGTCCAGGGTGACTCCTTGTGGGTGGGATTATATTGCATCCTTCTAAGGGATCAGGTATGCAGGCTAGACTGTCTGCTGGGAGCAAGCTCGAGTCCCAGGGAGGAAGGGAGCATCCCTCTCTGCAGGGCTGAGAGGATTTGAAAGAGCACGTTCTCCTTTGGAAGCGGTTGTGGCTTAGCACCAGTGTTTGAGGAGGGTTGCCGCACCTCCCCTCTCCTTGTCAGGATGGGCACAGGAGTCGTTTGGAGGTGGGGCTGGGGCTTTGACTGGGTTGGGGATATTCACGTGTGTTTGAGGTAAGCAGCGGCGTGGCTTTGATCTGGTGTAAATACTCACCTGCCTCGAGAGCACCCTGTGGCGGGCGAGAGCATTTGGAGCGGGCCTGCTCTGTGGGGCTGTGTAGCCGCCCTCACCCTGTGCCAGAGCCGACTCAGGCTCTGTGGGGGAGCAGCTGCCCAGCAAAGTGGGACTTGCCGACCATCTTTAAACTCTTGAAAAAGCTGCGTTTCTGCTGAAACGGAGGATGACGCTGGGAGAGCACGGTTTGGTTTTGTGTCCAGCTGTCAGTCTCTCTTCCATACTTCCTGTTTCATTGGCTGCTGTAACAGCTATAGTGAAGAGAAGTGTAAAACTCGGCCTTCCGACTCGATGGATTGTGAACAATAGATGGTGAGGAGTGTAAGCCTCTTAGAGGCTCCTTTGTCTAGAGCATTCTTAAAAATACTTGTTAGCAAATTTATTCATGTAGCTTTTTTTTTTTTTTTTTTTTTTTTTTTTTTTTTTTTTTTTTTATTTATTTATTTGAGACAGAGAGAATGAGAGAGAGAGAGAGCACATGAGAGGGGGGAGGGTCAGAGGCAGAAGCAGGCTCCCTGCCGAGCAGGGAGCCCGATGCGGGACTCGATCCAGGGACTCCAGGATCATGACCTGAGCCGAAGGCAGTCGCTTAACCAACTGAGCCACCCAGGCGCCCTTCATGTAGCTTTCTATTTGGCTTTTCCTTATTGAGAAAATAAGCACCAGCTACCAGTGGGTGCAGACAGAGACTGCTTTTGATAGGACCAGACTGAAATAGTCATCTCCTTTAACCCAGTACTTCCTTTCTTTATCTCTCTAAGTGGTTCTTCCCAGGGTGGCGTGGCATTGGGTGGAGAGAGCAGAGCAGTGACCTGATACCTTCCTGTCATCAGGTTTGTCCTGGGGTTCTATTTGAGGGAGGTAGCTGAGATTTAGGAGACTTTCTTTGGTTGAATGGCGTTGGTATCCCAGGGTAGTGTGCCGGGGCTAGAGTAGTGAGAGAGATGCTTGCCACACACAACTGCTTTTGTATGGCTCGCCCCCTTGGGCCCTTTATGTGTGAATTTGGGCATGTGTGTTTCATTTAAGTTATTTATTAAATATATTTTCCCTTGCTTAAAGGGTGTGATAGATAGGTCATTTTTAAATAGAAGCTGTGATCCAGTTGGAATCCAAATTTGAGAAATAAACAGCATAACTTTCTTCCTTGTAATATGTAAGTGTTCTAATCCTGTGCAATCTTATGGAGAACTCAAAGACAGAAGCCCTTTATCATTTGCCACAGCAAGGTACTGTCTCCCTTTTGACTTGGTGGGTAGGTATTTTTGAGCCAGTATTTAACAGGTTTTTTAATCTATAAGATGTTTTTTTAGTCTGCTGTGTTTATTTTCCGTGTTGGAACAGTCTCTTTGGAAATGCCTCCTTTTATGGCTTTTAACATTTCCCTTCTTCCTGCGGTCAGTTGTAGCGGGTTCTGATGTGTCAGCATGGCGGTGTTGTGCCAGTGGGCACAAGCGTGGGGACGCAGAGCACGTCCTCGATTCACATCACTGAGTGAGCTGCACTGGTGACATCAATGAAAACCATAGACACTGGAGTTTCTAACCTTTTACAGTGATAGACTTTTGCCCTGGGACCAGGGAATCTGGAAGACTCCACTGCCACAGTGAAGGATTAGAAGATACTGACTGTACCTGAGTGCCAGCACATGTTCGAGGAGCTGGTACTGACCCGCAGCTGGTCCTCCACCCGCTCCTCACCCTGAATAGCCTTCTCGGGAGCACCCTTGGGAAATGGAGGAGGGGAGGGCTGTTGACTGTGGTAACCACTGGGCGATCCAGAGGCGGCCGTTCTGTTGGCTTGTAAGGAAGCCCGCAGGTCCTGGAGTGTCAGAGCAGAGCCTTTCTCTCCTCCCGCGTAGTGGTGGTTTTGTGCAGCTTCCTTCCCAGGAGCCTCTGTTCGGATATGGTTTAAATACTGCCTCCTAGGAGAACCTGTGGTCCTTGCACCTGGGCCCTGCAGTGACCAGCTGTGTGGCCCGTGCATAACCGGGGAAGTCATCTTTGGGAACGGACTTCCCTAGACTCTCGCTGCTTCCTTACCATCGTACGGGGCCTCACACAAATGCTGGAAGGTCTTTTCTAAATAGAACTCCTTTTCCCAGGGAGAGCCTCATCCCTGTCCCATCCACCCCAAAGCTTTTGTACTGAAGACTGGACCTTGATCTAAACCTGGGTACTGGCATTTGTCAAGATTGCTCTAGAATTTGGGGAAAATTTGGGTCCTTAAAATGCACAATCTTTTCAAACCAGTGGTAATTAACCCCACGGAAAAGCTAGCTTTCCTAGACAGCCAGTGCCGACCGACATCTTTCCACTGGTGGAGAGTCAGTGGAGGGGCTAGTGAGGAGGTGAGTACATAATAGCCTGAGTGCTTGGGTTGCCATGGAAACTGGAGTGTGCGAGGCCACAGCCAGGGGGGCTGAAGAGCCATTGAGCACTCCCTCAGACGTTTGGAGACTGGCAGAGCCTGTTGGGAAAAACACTCCCGCCCGGGGTCCTTCATAACAGGGGTCGCCCTTGGCTCTCCCTGAGCTTGTTCAACAAGAGAAACAAGGTTTCTTAACTGTTTCACCATTTTTTGTATTTCATTCTTATTTGACTTTATATATCAGATATATATATGTAACTGTAAAGAAACAATCATATACATTATCTTTCTTTGTTATTCCTGTAATATTCTGAAATTAAATTTCTTTTGTTCATAGCCATAGGCTTTGACTGGTCTCTCAATTCCCATTTTGACCAATAGACTATCTTAAGGAGAGGTTGCCTCTTAAAAACTTTTCCCCCCAGTTTTATTGAGATATTATTGACAGGTTGCTTCTTGTTCTGAGTCCTGTGAAACCTGTCTAAGAAAAGCACCTCTTTGGCTTGTTTTCTTTCTGGGGGGAGTGGGGCTTTTGGCTGATAGGAAATGGGATTGGAACCCCTGGGAATTCTGAGCTTTCTGATGTCCTGTGGCTGAGTCTAGAATGTTTTGCACAGATTTCAGTTTCTCACATAATCTTATTTCCTTGTTTAAAAGTAAGGAGTGACAGTTATAATAACAGTAAAAACCAGATGACATTTTTATCTAGGACAGCAAGTAGTGTTTAGACAACTCTGGTTGAAATGTTTCTGCCACTTATGTATGTGACCTTGGGGACGTCCCCTCATCTGTAAGGTGGGGATAATGGTAACTTGTCTCAATAATGACATGCTCTCAGATCTTAAGGGCTTAGCACAGAAGGTCTTAGTCTGGAGTCTGTGATTGTGCTTTGGAACATTGTTTGCCCTTGCGATTCTATGTAAAATGTTGTGTACATTTGAATTTTTCTAAGGGAGGGAGGGATTTTATAGTTTTCACAGGAATCCCAGAGGAGTCCTTGACCACTAAAATAGTGAGAACAACTAGCCTTGCACAGTGCCTGGCAGATGGCAAGTATTCATTAGATGTTAACTCTCTCTCTCTCTGCCAAGAATACATTTTACAATCAGCAGGTTATTGATGCTGACATAGTTATTTTTGATAACAAAGGAGTTACTTAAATCTGGACCACAAATAAAAACCCTGCAGTTGTCTTTGCTCCATTATCTACCCATGTGCTCCTTTTTTTGCCGTGTTGGCTCTCTAGCTGCTGCTCAGAACTGTCTGTCCCTCTCCTAATCCCCCAAGGACCAACTTGTTATTTACTGTAAAGAAAGGAGCCATGTCTTTTTCTTGAGTGACGCATACAGGAAACAGTAATGCGAAAGAAAAGAAAAAGGGGTGGAGGGGACAAGAGGTATTTTGAAAAATAAGAGGATCAAAATGCCTAGTACAGCGCTGAGCACATAATCAATATGCAAATTGTAGAAAGGAATGAAGAAACAAATCTGCATTAAACAGCAGAAAGGGAAGATGGGAAAACAGAATTTTCCTTAGTCTCCCCTTCCTCCTGGGCCAGTTCTGTGGCCTCTGTTCCCCAGGGCTGGCTGCCCACCTTTTGCTCCTACCTCCATTTCTGAATTAAAAGCATACGGGGGTGGAGATGGTAAGGAAGGCTGAACCCCAGGCTAGAGGGTCGTGGTATAGAGTTCATCAGGATTGTTCAGATGTTTTAAAGTCCCAGCCTCTTAGTTTCCCCCCTAAAAAGCAAAAACAAAAACAAAAAACAAAAATTGGGGTTAGGAAATGGCTAAGTCTTGGTCCAAGTTGGTCATTAGTATCTTTACCAGCAGCATCCAGTGCCCAGATTCCTAGAGTCTTCTACCTGGGAAGCGGGATGAAGGTTGGCAGGAGGGGCCGCTGGTATCCATGCTAGCCTTCCCCTTTCATTCCCAGATACGAGCCTTTTAAAATTTGTACTGCTCTATTACCGAAGACTGCTTAATTCAGTTGAACCAGACCTGCAGGCAACAGAGAAACAGACTGTCTCAAAATTGTGAGTGCAGGAGTTGTTCCTCAACATCGGTGTATGTAAGTGGGGTTGCTTTTCAGAGTTCCTGCTGTGCACATACTTCCCAGTTTTCCCACATTGAAATAGGACTGTGGTAGGGGCTCTAAGGAGTTCAGGCCTCCTGTGAATGAAAACTAATACCATCATTTATTGAGTACTTACTATGTACCAAGCTTTGTGCTAGGCAATTAATTCCTTATTTCACTAAAGTCAAACATCTCCGTGAAGTATTGCTATCTCCAGTTTTATAGTAGAAGACATATCAAGAGTTTAATGTATCCATGTCGGCTAAAAAGTGGTAGAGTCAAGATTAACACCCAGGACTGCCTGACTTCAAGAACTGTGGTCTTTGAGAGGAGTTACCCACCCAAGGTCTACAAGAGTCAAGAAGGAAATCTAAGGTTATGAAAACAACAACTACTTCAAGAGATTGAAAAACACTGTGGGAGCCAAACGCAACTCCTCCATGGCCTGGATTGGCCCACGAGCTCCACTTGGCATCCTCTGTATGACACTGGGCCGTGCATCTTCTGGCTGGGCTCTGGGTCTGTGCAGGACGTTCTCCTGAGGTGCTCAGTGCTGGCTCTGGGAGACAGCAGGTGCGTCTGTCAGGAGTGCTGTTGAGCTATGGGAGGGTGGTGTCCGCCATAACCACCGCCTCCCCTCCGCCCCCCCCGGCCCCCCACTGCTGGCAACTGCCTAGGGAGAGTCTTTCCTCATCTTTCTGACTTCTCATACACACTCTCGACAGTAGCCTCTAGCTGTGGATATTGAGTACTTGAAATGTGGCAGTCTGAACTGAGATATGCTCTCCACGTGAAATACGCCCCAGAATTCAAAGCCTTAGTTAAAAAAAAAAAAAAAAGAATGTAAAAATGTCTCAATTTTTATTAAGTATTACACATTGAAATGATATTTTGGATATATTGGGCTAATTATTAAAGCTAATTTTGTTTCTTTTTACCTTTTTAACATGGATGCTAGAAAATACTAAATTACATAAATGGCTCATGTT